AACATTTTTTACTGATCATAATTTTAAAATAAAATAATGAAAATAGAAAATTTCTTATGCCTATAAATTGCTCAAAAAGAATAAAAATGTTTCATAGTTATGAAACTGTGTGGTGTATGCTTAATGAAAATTATTTCAAAAAATTCCAATGGCTGCAAATAGCTCAAAATGATTTCAAAAATGTTACCATATGTATCGAAAATGCGATTATATAAATATTAGGTGAAAATTTCAAATRTTTTCTTCTATAATTATTTTTAAGTTACACTAATTAGTTCTTAAATTAGGTTTGCATTTTAAATAATTACTATTTTTTTCACTTTTTTTTGAGATGCTTGCAAAAACTACTGATAATTTTCAATTTTGTTGACCTTTTAAAAGTAACAATTAGATTCACTATTCTATCAAAGAAGATGTTGATGACAAACAGAAAAACACTTTGTTGTCAATACAATATATTCATTGACTACGCTCAAAATATAAAACTTTTTTAGATATTTTGGTTACTATATGAATTACACAATCTTTAACTTTAAAAGATTTTAATGAATTTTGTAAAAAATTTAACTTTAATTACTTACATAAAAAAAAAAAAATGTGCAGGAATGTATTTATAAATGTCTAATATCTTAAGATAGTTAAGAATTCAAAATATATATAGGAACTGATTAAGTTTACTTTTAAATCATATTTAACATCTTAAAATAATTTATAACCAAATAACCGAAATGGATGTGTTTGAAAGAAACATAACATTTAATTAGTGAAATAGGTTAATACTCTCAGAAATAACTATGTATGAATCGAATCGCGGAAAAAAAGTCCGCCGTAGAAAAGTCCGGTATAATATTATATTAAAAAAAAATTCAATGATAATAATAAATCATAATATATATAAAAATTCAATAATTTTAATGTTTATCTGGCCTTGTTCTGATATTATGACCAACTTTATCTAAAAATTCTTCAAAATTCAATGATAATAATTATAATATGTAAATAAATATAAAACAATAAAAATAATTAATCATACAAATAAAATATAATTATATATTAAAATTATTTCTTAATTAAATTAAGTATTAATTTTTCCTTTTACCTAATTATATGACATACCTATATCGGACTTTTTTACCTCAGACTTTTTGGTAGTCTACCGTATGAATCATCCTTTTCGGGCTTTTCCCTCCTTAAAATACTCTCTGTGCATAGATGTCTTTGATTTTTTTTTAGCTGCTTTTATAAAAATATTTACTTGACTACCAATAAGTATTAAAAGATTTTTAAAAAAACCTGTATTTATCTTAATTTATATTTTATATAAGCAAATTGCTCTATAAAAAATTATATAAAGCAGCAATTTTTAAGTTAAGCAAATATATCTATAGCATCTCCTAAATTGATTTTGTTAACTTATTATAATTCTTTACAAGTACCATGACCACAGAATAGATATCAGTGATAATGCCTCTAAATAATAATGTTATTTACATTTGTTCTTCTACTCATTGGAGTTTCAAACATGAGAAATCATATTGAATATTAATTCTCTTTCTAACGAAATTTGTTTATTTCAACTGTTAATATACAAATACAATTTTTATTTTATTAATACATTATTTTAACAGGCCAGTTGGGGCTATTCTAAAAGTAAGAAGTGCGCACACCCTAAACCCTCCTGACAAATGACGTCCCACCTGCTCTTTATTGCTTAAGACACATTGAACATTCTAAACTTATAATTGTTAATTTATTTTATTTAGGGATATTAGTTCAAAATTTAATATTGCTATTAGCACAGCTCATAAATGTGTAAATGATGTCACAAATACATTGTTTAACCTTATGGGTGAACTTATCTATTGGCCGATTAGTCAACAAGCTGATATTGAAATTGAAGCATTCGATGAAATGCCGGGAAATCGTTTTCCTGGCATTCTTGGTGTTATTGGAATGGTAGAATTGAAAAAAACTTGCACAGCCAATCCGTCCAAACATACCAAGGATGGATCTTCAATCGCCATTCAGGTTAGACTACAATATTATGTCTTTATTTCCATTGGTAAACATTTAAAATAATATAATGTCACTCTTTAATACTGAATGATATTTGTTTGCAGTGTGTGTGCAACAACAAGTATCAGTTTTATAATGTTTTCACCAGTTATTTGCCCAAATCATCAGTTACCTCATCAACATTCCTAGAGAGCCCATTAGCTGAAATGCTTCTAAATAATCCAGACACATTGTTCCCAAACATCAATAGTCATATTGTTGGACAGTGCTGTTTTCCTCTTCTACCCAATTTAATGACTCCATATTCTGGTGATACTTATGATGCGGTATCAGAAAACATCTATAATGATGCCATTGAGGTACCATTGAATATAATAAAGATAGCGTTTGGCAAGCTATTAGGGCGGTTTACAAGACTGTTGTAAGTTCAATATCAAATACCATCACTAATCTGGCATAAATTAACTATTTATTTTAATTATTATTATTATTATTATTGTTATTGTAACAGATGCCTAGATTTATGGGGACAGGACAAAAGTGCCATACTAATATTTGCTGCTTGTTGCTTGCACAACCTATGTTTAGGTAACGATGATGACATTTCATGTCCACCTTATGAGTGCTGCAATTTCAAATGTGATTATTATGATGAGTTTAGTGTTGAAAAACGCCTAGAGATATGCTCCAAAATTAGATCTCGAGTTCTACAAACAACAGATTAACATTGTACAAGTGTGTAAAATATTATTTGAGTAAATAAACATAACCAATAAAGTTAACAAAGAATTAAGATAAATTTGTAATTACAAATTAACATTTATAATTACAAATTAACATTTATATACAAAAAAAATGTGTTAATAAATTATGGGATATGGGGTGGTAATCTTGAAACTAACTGTTCCAACAGTCTCAACTTTTGAGTTTCTAATTCATTTGACCTTTTCAGATGATCCAACATTTGCTGTTGAAGTCCTTCAAACACTTTTTCTCGGCTTATTAGATTTTCTTCCATTTCCTTCAATCTTAAATATAAAAAAAATTAATTGTATTCATGAATAGATTAATAGAGTACTGAAGTACCAAACTTGCATTTATTACCTTTGATCAAATTCCTTATTTCTCAACCTAAATGTTGTCTGTAGTTCAGTAATGCAATTTGTTTTATTTGAACAGCATGATTTAGAAGTCTTGATGTAATTGTGTTCATCCAACTCATTAACCTCGTATGATGGATTATTTATTTCTTCTTTTACAACCTTTTTGTTAGTTTCTAAAATTTCAGAATATTATTTTTTTTCTGATTCAAGAATTTAAAAAAAATAACATTAATATAAAAATAATTAATTTACCTCTAAGAACAGAATCAATTTTATTGTAGTACACCCAAATTACTTTTTTATTTCTATTTGTTCGCATTCTATTTTTGTTATAACGGTTTTTCAGTGTACGCCACTTATTGTCACAAGCTCTGGGAGTATAATTAAAACCATTCTGAGACATTTCTTCTGATATTTTTTTCCATATCAAGAGCTTTTCGCCAGTTGCTGCATTCATAAACTTTTCTTTATGATTATCAAAGCAATCTATCAAGCACATAGTTGAATCCATACTCCAGGAAACTATTAACATAAAGTTGAAATATGAACATGCATAAATAGTGTAATTAGAGCTAATTTTACTATTCGGAATTAACATTACATAAGTTAGAACATCTTACTACTTTCAGCAGGTACACCAAGTAACCTATCTAAATCGTGGTAGTATTGCCACTTTACACTGTTCACTCCTATTTTTTTGTATTTTTCTCTTCTTTTTATGTAGTTCGCTTTTAAAAGACGCCATTTACGATCACATACTAGACCAGAATAATTGTGACCACGTTCACGTAACTGATCACTTATTTCATCCCAAAGTAAACGTTTTTTGCCTTGTGCAGCCATCAGGAATCGTGGACGATAAAGACCCCACAACTCAATCAAACATTTAGTTGCTTGTTCTGTCCATATATCTGTATAACAGCAACATGTTTTTTTTAAAGATTGAATAACATAAAAGAATATATATTAAATTATAGTTTTGATGCAGTGCCGGCCCAAGATACGGGCGAACCGGGCAGTTGCCCGGGACGCTACTTTTTTAAGGGCGCTTTTAATATACGAATATTTAATACATTTTAGTGTAATATTTATTCAAAATTCAAATTGACAATAATATAGCTAAATGACTAAATTATCTATGACGGAATATTCTGTTATAGATTTTATTCCACTTTCCAGTTTTTATCATTATATTACAAATAATTAAAAAATAATATACAATGATATAATATAATCATTATCTCGGAAAACCCAAAAAATTATGTGTTAAGCTGATACGTTTATAAATTGTATCCAAATAAGTTTTGCCGTCCTTTACCTATTCATAAATATAAGAATTTAAACAAAATATGTAGGTAAGTATAAAAAAGTATTAAATGTATTATGGAGCATTTGATTAAGGGCGCCTTTCAAAAAATTGTCCGGGGCGTCAAAATACCTTGGGCCGGCCCTGTTTTGATGATTTACCACTAGGAGGGAGTTCAACAAGTTCTTCCTCATTATTTTCACGAGTTTCTTCAACAACATTCATATTATTATAAGCTTCACTTTCTTTTTTAATTTCATTAAGTTCATCATCATCATCATCATCATCATCAATTAAAGATACTGTTATTATATCATTGAGTTCTGGAGCTATAGAAGAAGAATATAAGTTGATTTTAATGCTGTTAGATGTAATGTCATGAGATTTCTTACATCCTTCTGGAGTGTTTTTAAAAATGTTGTCCATATCTTTAAAATAAGTCCATTTAACATATTCTATTCCATATTTAATAGCTCTTTGTTTATTCTTTTTATAGGTCATTTTTAAATTACGCCATTTATCGTTACAATGATTAGCTGTATATTGATATCCTAATTTCGAAAACTGATGGGCAATATCTTGCCATAATAAATGTTTTCCTCCTTGATTAACAACTGAAAATTTCTTTCTGTCTTTACCATACAATCGAATCAATTGCCTAGTTGATTCAATTGTCCACTGATATTTATCAACATATCCTATATGAAAAAATCATTGTTAAATATAATAACAGTAAAAAAAATTAAATATTTACTAGATGAATCAGCATTTTCATCTTCCCCAACATCATCTGTATTTTCTCTTTCCAAGTCGTCATCATCTTCATTTTCACCATTGTTATCATCATCAACATCATTATTATCGTTTTCAGTATCTGTAAAAACATTTTATATGAAATTTAAAATACTTATAACTCAGACATTATTTTACCAGAAATTTCGAATGGAATGCCTTTAATGGCCTTATCCATTTCTGAATAATGGTTCCAAGTAACTGGATGTTTATTACCATCTTTTTTAGAATTGCGTGTTTTATTGTACATATATATTTTCTTAAGACTACGCCATTTAACGTCACATGACTGTGCGTCAAAATAAAAACCATGTTCAACCAAACTTTCTGATACATGTTCCCATAGTGCTTTCTTATTTTTATCTGAACAGTTTGTAAACTGATCTCTCAATTGACTCCAACAGTAAATTAAGTAACGAATCGAAATATCATCCCAAATGTCTAAAGCATAAACAGAATATATTTTACAAAAATTTTAAAATTGTCATTTTTTTAATTCATAATAATTGAAAATGATTAAGTTATAAAACTTACTGTTAGGTTGCTCAATATTAATATCAGTGTCAATAGTTTCGTAAATTTCTTGCACTACTTCATTGTTTTCATAGCCATCAAAGTTATTTCTTTCCTGTTCATTTACCGAAACTGAAATAAACAATTATAAATATGTTTTTTATTTAAATGTATCTTTTTCTTACCATTGCTGTTGGTGTATATAAAATTTAAAAATAAATTACCAGGTTCATAATCATTGTCTAACATGGTATCTGCATTAATATTTAACTGTTGATAATCTGTATCACTGACCATAATATCATAACAATTCTGAGTTAAACATAGCAATTTATCTAGCATTAATGATAACCATTATCTAAAAAATTTAAAAAAAATTAATTTTTAATTTTTGGTTAGGTATATAGTTAAAAATTCATTTAACAAATTGGTTTTGTTACCCATGCGACAATTAAGGTAAAACAAAGTAACTCTGTTTTCCGTAGATATTCATATTATTCCTAAGAGGGCACTACTCCTTAATGCATCTCTCTGTTTTACAAATGCATAACATAGCACAATTGTAAGATCTGAATAATCAACTTAACTCAGGTATGTTTAATTTAAGACCAAATTGACCTATCATCAATTTTAGAAATGAAAATATTATCTAGTGAACCTTATAGATTTTTTTAGATTATTTAAAAATTCACAAACAATTGACAATATTAAAATACTTATAACTTGCTTTAAAATAAAAATATAAAAACCCAATGAGGTTCACTAGATAATATTCATATTTCTAAAGTTGATTTACTGTTTCCTATGTAAAATGGACACTGTGCATGTGGATGTAGTGTACTTTTAATATTCATTATTATGTTAAAAGTTAAAATTTATTATATACAATGCTTTAGCTAGCAGCTATAAGATAACAGTTTTCAGTATAGATCAGAAATAAGAAATATGTAGATAATCTTTTTATAAATTTAAGTTCAAATCCATTTGATATGGATGTAATTAAAATTTGATTAAAAAATTAATAGTCAACAAACTAATACAAAACGTGTTTATGATTAAAATAGATTAAACTGTTGAGTTATGCTTTTGACCACTAAACAAAAAATTGAATGGTTATTTCATAATTTTTTTTTTAGGTATTAGATATAGTAACTTGCCTAGATATAATTCAAAATCTATAAATTTTGTTTGATAATAATGTACAACATTCCTTAAAGATTCATTCAGTATGTGCAAAATTATGACTTTGTTATCACAACTGATCTCTCAATAAAACTTACAATAAAATAATTATTGACATCCAATCATAGCAAAACCCAATCAGAAACTAGAGATAGTAATTACTAATTAACTGTACACTGTCCATCAGAGAACAGATCTTCTGTTCATCTCTACACTGCATACTCCCATAGTAGAAGTGTCAATTGAAGCTGTGAAAAATCAGTTTATTCTCTCGTTGGACAATGTATAAATGATATAAATCCAGTCTGTGCAATAATTATTTAAGAAATATTATTGCTTTTTTAATCCCATTATTTGTTAATTATTCCAATATTTATGAAAACTAATAAATGGGCATGCAATAACTATGATTTATTTCGTTAGTCAATAATGACATTTAAAATGACAATTAAACATCATTAGTTCGATGTTTCCAAGAAATACATAACAATAATTATAAAAATCATGAAATTGACATACAACTGTGTAGTGTTTGTCGCTAACCGACGGCCAGGAGGGCAGTATAATAACAACCCATATGGCCTGATTGTCATTAAATTTCTAGTCGTGCGTAGCAATATTACGATTTAGAATTTTCAGAGGACATCGAACAATCCAGTGACAATGGCTGAAAGACGAACGTTGAACACTAAGTCGTTATTATTATTATTATTAGGACAGCGGACTGTCGCGAGACGATGCGATACTCACGGGACCGCGCTGTTTACCTTGGGTCGAATATGTCGGTGTACAACGTAACGTTTTCGACGTAGGCTCCGCTTGCCGGGCTAGCAGTTGTCACTTTGTCAGCAGCTGCATCTACCGTGACGTATGCCATCTAAACAGTTCAAACCAGACAAATGGTCAAACAAATCGGAACTGTGACGATACGCGTCGATTTCTATTTCTTCGATCGGTGTACCATTTAATTATTTTAATTTATCCATAATATCCATTACCCAATGCTATAAAACAGTGCCTTTGACAGTGCGAACTGCAAACACAACGTACCGTTCACGCGCGACAGATGCGTTCCGTCAAAACTCGCATTTCTTCCACGAGATATTCCGTTTCCGTCTGGCAGAACGAATCATAATAGACAGTGTAGACTGGTCTGTAGAGTGCCGCCTATTTAAAATTAGTATTTTTTATAGGTATTCATTCCCAGATATATATAAAATATATCATTCATCTTTATTATACATTTGGGTTTATTAATTATTAAATAATAAATTGTCCCGGGTTATGATAGTTAATATTTAGTATTTGGGTTGTAAATTTGTAACTTGTAGACGTAACAAGCTGACTACCGTGTCACCGTGATAATCGGAAATGTTAGTAATCTACAACCTTAGTAACCGATCTGTGGACGAATGATGTACTATCATCGGTTTTTTTTATTCTTTATCTTGCTATGTAGCCTGCTATGTTTATTTTTCGCCGGCATCGCCGCAACTCCGCCAGCCACCAGGAATTCCGAATTAGTATTGTGTGCTGAGGCTGACTGGCCTGACTGTGCTGTGCTCTACGGGCGGCAACTCTTGTGTATTGCTCTGTAGTGCTGTAAACTTTGCTGTTCAGACAGTTCAGTTTCGACGGTTCGTCTAAGCTTGACAGAATTCAGTTTTCCTCCTACTTTCGAGCTATTCAGTTGCTGCTAAGACGAATTTTACAGTAAATACTGTATTTTCGACTTCGTAGTTCATACTGGGTACAGCCTTCGATTTTTAAACGTTATAATAAAGTAAATAACTACTATGTCTGATTCAAACGAAGAGGTCAATCTGCACGAATGCCTAGAACTGATAACGAGACTCGCCCGACACGCCGGCAAGGTGATTGAAAAAAATCAATTATTTAAAACTAATTTAATGCAATTAAATAATGCGATTTATGTCAGTATTCGACGGTCCAATCTCTCGCTAATTTATTTTTGTACGACGACTGGAATTGTTGTGTAATTGTAGTGTTTCTTACGATATAATTGCATTTATTTCTAATTAAATAATCACTATAAATTACGGAGTATTTACTTATTGTATGTAACTATCTATTGAAAAAATTATATAGCCCCAATAAAAAAACCCCCTACCGATCCATTATTTCAACAAAATTATTAGGTAATCAAATCAAATGTAATAGGTATTATTCTTTAATATTGATTTTTCCACTGTTGCCTAACAAGAGGGGATGGTAAGATGGAAGGGCTGATAAATAATTAATAACTTTTTTTATATGTATAATACTGTAATACGGTATCTGTATGTTTTTTATCATATTCAAAAGTTATGTATACTTCCCATAATAATGTATCAAATTTTTAAACACACGAAAAATCTTGTGCAACAATTCTATAGATACTTGAAATAATTTAGCCACATACCTATTATTTATTATTGTATACTTCTCAATTATTTTTATCTAGGTATATAGTATTAAACCTACATCTAGTCAGTTTAAATATTATCAATCTTTCATACTTTTATGGGTATAAATAATCTTTTTGTTCTTACAAAAATGTAAAATAAAAATCTATTTAATTTTTTTTTTAATCTATTCAATCCTATTGAACTTCTTTATTATTATATTCCCATTTATAATTAATATAGATTTTAAATTTTCTATTTATGATTAATTTAATTATTTCATGTAGGTACTATGATAAATTTTTACTAATACTTTACATATTATTATATAATATTCTTTATACTACTAAGGTGTGTTCCCCACTTCTTGGCCCTTGATACATTAATATTTGATACATCACTTGCCATATTATAGTTGCTTAAATATAGTTAAATATTAATTTATTATACATTTATTTATAGATTATAAAATCTCGAATCAATCAAAAAAAAACAATTGAAACTAAAGCTAATTCAATTGACTTTGTAACTGAGACAGATCAAGAAGTAGAAAAATTACTTATTGAGGGAATAAAACAAAAATACCCACATCATAAGTAAATGACAACTATTAAACTGTAAATCATTCATAACTTTGTAACAAATTACAATGCCTATCATAAAATTTAAGATTTATTGGCGAGGAATCATTTGCTGCCGGCGTTAAAGAAAAATTGACATGTGCTCCAACTTGGGTCATCGATCCTGTGGATGGCACCACCAACTTTGTGCACAGTTATCCAAACGTTTGCATATCAATTGGTTTGGTGGTTGGCTGTGATGTTAAATTAGGAGTTATCTTCAATCCCATATTGGACATGTTTTTCAGAGCAATCAAAGGTGAAGGTGCATTTTTAAATGATGAACCTATCAAAGTCAGTGGCGTTAAAAGTAAATGTTTTGAGAATCACTTAAGTTTATTTTAAAAACAAAATATAACCTTATTGTTGTATTTTTTTAGAACTTACTGATGCATTAGTCGCTGTAGAATTTGGTTCAGTAAGAACAGAAGAATTCAGGAGTATTGTGGACCACAACATCAAATATTTAGTAACTAATGCTCATGGGTAAATTCTTAATTTTCTTTCAATTATTGATCAAAGATTAATACATCAATTTTTTTAGTGTTCGTTCAGGAGGTTCAGCTGCTTGGAATTTAGCTCAAGTAGCTAGAGGCGCTATTGATGTGTACGTGGAAATGGGTCTCCATGCTTGGGATATGGCAGCTGGGGACATTATTGTGAGAGAAGCTGGGGGTTCTGTGATAGATCCAGCTGGTAATTAATATTAAAACTATCTAATGCAATGGTTCTCAACTGGTATTCCATTAAACATAAGTATGCTGCAACCCTTTCATATTTATTAATTTAATACATTTTCACTATCAATAACGATTATTACATTTTATTACGCTTATTGTTTAGGGGCTAATGTTTAATATTATGAACAACTATTAGTCATTGAACTTTAATGTTTTCTAAAAAAAATCAAAGTTTTAGAGCAGTGGTTTTCAACCGGTGTGCCGCGAAAATTGTGTAAGAGAAGAAGTGTGCTACGTTGTTAAAAAGGTTGAAACCCACTGTTTTAGAGTAATATTTTTAAATTATTATAATTTATATACACTATGTTACTATAATGTAGCATTAAAATGTATTTTTATTAAACATGTGCAGAAGCATAAAAAGGTTGAGAACCACTGATATTATGTATTAATAAAATGAAAGTATTATAACCTGTACTTTTACAATTATCAATAATTAGGTAAAGATTTTGAATTGATGAATCGAAGAATATTAGCTACATCATCAACAGAGATTGCTGAAGAAGTATATTCAAAATTCCAACAATATTATCCAGAGCATGATTAAAAAATTAATTGTTGTTATATATTAAGCCTGTATCATCAATAATGGTTTAGTATGGTTAATTTTTTTACATGTCAATAATTACATAGTAGCAAAGAAATTGTTTTATTTAATATCATATTTTTGTTAATGAAAGTTGTAGTACGAAAAACAGTTGAGACATGGTGTACTATTAAGTATTAACCATTTTATAAACTATAACTTATCTAGTTATTTCTGAGCAAATTTGTTTAGTCATTTTATGTTGAAAAATAAAATTATTTAGATTCAAAATTATAACAGTCGTTTAATTCAAATAAACATTTACAAAATTGAGTAATAATTAATAAATATTTTTAATATTATAACATAAATCATGTGTTTCATAGAATATAGAATGTAAATGACTTAAAAATACAAAATAATATTGATTGTAATAATCACCAAAAAATTAATGTATTTATAGATTGTTTTTGTATACTAAGACCTATAACACCTCGATGTGGATCCCTGATAGAAATGTTTACTGGTTTATTCCTCCTGAAAACATAAATATTTCTTTTCAAATGTTGAGCCATAAAAAATAAAGCACATGATATTTCAATGTCTATATGAGTTAAACTTGAATATTAAAAATTCAAATATCCGGTATTATTGTTTTTACAAAATTGTTCTGATTCCTAACAATTATTAAAATGTAAAAAAGTTCTGTATCGTACAAATTAAATACAACCAGTGTCATTTATCAAAATGTTGTAATTCTTTCTAATTCAAGGTTACTTTAAAATTTAAATAATTAAAAATTATATTTTATGTTGCCTATATTACTTTTCCTTTAGAATAAAATATTTATCAATTAAAAACATAAATTTGGCTATTTTATGTCAGTATGATGTATGAATGTAAATTATTACAATTTAAAAATGTTTATGTATTGTCATATTGGTTTGGACATGAAAATAAGTTAATAACTAAAATATTTAATAAGTATAGTAGAGAACTTGCTTTGGCTATATTTAAGTAGGTATTATATTTACAATACTTGGATAATAAATTGAAAACTTGTGTTATTGAATATAGGTTGGTCATCTAATTGTATTTCTTACGTATATGTTAGTATATGCAGAGGTATATACCAAATATAATGAATACCTATTGGTACTAAATTGATTAAAGAATATAGTTACCTGTTGTATAGAACAATAACCACAGCTCCGTCAGGCCTTTTAAAACCAACTGACTTCACAACGGATGTCTGTGTTAACTTTATGCGCGTGGAACCTCTGGAAATAAATTTTGAAAAATGTCCGATCGCGTAGAACATTGGTTGTTTGTAAAATTCATCTTTAGTTTTGTCGACAATAATGGGTGAGTCAATAAAGTTAGACACCCAAGTCGGACCTCCGGTCATGTCTAAAGCTAAATTCCACTCCACCCATCCTTGCACCCAATGGTTTAAATCCTGAAATTATTTTTATAAAAGAAAAACCTTATTGGTTTTTACAGAGGTAAGTTGTACATAAGTGTCCTAAGTATGCATATACATATCGCATAATGATAATGAACGTACAAATATCATTCAAACTCCTAAAAGGGAAATAATATTATAATTTTAATTTGACATATTTATACATAATATTCAGGCATACTGCGTACATCTATACTTATTGCAGTATCGTCTATAATTTAAAGTAGAAAGAATACTAAAGAAGTATATAGAGCATCTGAGTATAGGATACAAAATTGAAAATAGTAAAAAAAATTTAAAAATAATGAAAGTACAACTTCCGGGGTTATATAATTATACTCGACACTCGTAATGTTAACCAGTTAACCACCCATGAAACCAATTATTCACGCCATGCGATAAATAATTAACCCCTCACCCCCACCATAAACGCATATAATGTGATTTAGTCAATATCTCATTCTCCATTATTTTAATGATACCAATAGTCTAAATAGATTGTTGAAACTTTTTTATTGAAACTTGAAACATATAATTAATTTTTGATTTTTTTCCAGTGAAATGTGTGTGTACTCGTATTTTATACTATATTCTACTCATTAGTCGTCATATCAGAGTGTCTTAAGTGTTTCGATAAAATTCGGCCAAGACCACATTAATTTTGGTCTGAACATCATAATGTATATTATAACATACGGACATATAGCTTGGTAACCAATGTATATTATTATCATAATAGAGGTAAAATAAAATGTATTACGTCGATGATGTTGTTCGCATAATTTTCAGCTCTGGCCCAACTTCCCAATTGCACTTTGACGAAATCCCATGGCTTGTCACCTGATGGATAATGAAAATTGATTTAATAAAATAACCAAAATCTTTTTCATCATTCTAAGGTATATTATAGGCAGGGCTTGAAACCGGTATTTGATACCGTTTTTGAATACCGTTTAAAACCGTTAAAAAACGAAATCGATATCAAAACCGAAATCAAAAACAAAAAAAATAAATACCGTTATCCAAAACCGAAATCGAAATAGGAAAATTTTTTTTCGGTTTCAAGTCCTGATTATAGGTACTAAGGTACATAATAACATTTTACTTCAAAATTCGATTACATGTATCACACACTATAAAGTACTGTACTGCTGTATATTATAGCAAAATTTATGAATATTATGTAAATATTATGATAGTCAATAATGTAGAACAGACAGAAAAGTGATTCCCAAAGTGGATGATATCGCCCCCTTGGAGGTGCTAGAGATATCCAGGGGGCAATGGAAGTTACAAGCTTAATTGGGGGGGGGGCGTAATCTAAATTATCTGAATTTGCTTATTTTGTATTTTTAGATTAATCGTTCGTCGTCTATCGATAATCTGTCGTTATAGCGATAACAGAAACAACGTACGTGGTCTACATTATCTGAATCTGAATTATTTTTGTATTTAGTACACTCGCGAATGCGGACCTTATTCGCTGTCGTTTTTATAAAAATTTTCGTATTWTTTGTGTATTATTTTATTTAAATTTTAAACGTTTTTCACATCATGGCATCTGAATCGAAGAAAAAATGTAGGCAGTATAATATTGAATATTTGAAGTATGGTTTTATTCAATCGCCTACAAATATTACACTATACCAATGTGTCTCATTTGCCAAGATATAATGACAAGAAATGGCATATTGCGGAAGCTCAGTGGCTCCACATGGGGCTGTAATCCTCACGTCTTAAGAACTACGGCACTAGCCATATGTTTTTCAGCGGGAGAGTATGCCAGTCCAGTATGGGGTAGGTCATCACATACTAAAAAGGTCGATGTTGCACTAAACGAGTCCTGCCGACTCATAACTGGTTGCCTAAAAAACACACCGGTAGAACAATTACATATACTTTCAGGAATAGCCCCTCCGCCAATAAGAAGATCCACGCAAGCAGACTGGGAGAGAACGGAAATAACAGCAGAYCGACGACACCCTGTGTACGGTATAACTCCACAACTCCCTCGCCTTAAATCTAGGAAGAGTTTCATGAACCRTACAAAAGCCATCTCGTCAACACAWCCTGAAGTAGAAAGAACGACCAGATGGAGAAATGAGATAAGCAGTACCTCCAGCTGGGTGCCGAACGAGTCACTCCCATCTGGCCATATTGAAACATGGCCGGTTTGGCGAACACTAAACAGACTCAGGACAGGAATCGGACGAACGAAAGACAATCTAATAAAATGGGGACTGMTAGATAGCACAGACACCTTGTGCATATGCGGAGAAGTACAGACAATGCAACACATTATCACATGCACAGCTTGCTCCCAAACCTGCACCACAGAAGACATTCACAAAGGCACAAGCCAAGGAATTAACGTAGCCCGCATCTGGGCAGAAATAATATAAGCCCACCAATAACGTACTGAACCACTCAACAATATTACCATATTATATTAAACATTCGTAGTCTACTTCATTTTTTTTTTATCTATTTTACTTATTGTCGTATTATTATTAGTGTTATTTAAAGCTAATTTTATTTGTTTATTTTATACTATACAACTGACATCATTATTATTATTTCTGTTATACTATGCGCCTGACACGAATAAAAAAAAAAAATTGCCAAAAAGTATTTTCAAATGAATCTAACCTAACTTACCTAACCACATCCATCTCATTAAAATATTATTTTTCATTTATACTTCATACTATTTTATGCTTTATATTTCACCTATACATTATATATATTTATAAACAATAAATTTCATTTTTCATTGCATACTTTTGTAACAATATTTTTTTTAAGAGGTCATTTGTTGGATTTTTTTTTTGGAAGTGGGTGGTAAAGATAAAAAATTTGGGAAACACTGATGATGTAGAAGAAGAATTTATTACATCAAAGTGTTAAGGAATTTCCTTTCCGAAAACTTGAATTATAATTTTATAATGCACCACCATTATCTTTGCGTGTCCGTAGGATAGTATAACAACAAAAACTTGAKACYCTAACAAGTCTAATATTAACTTACCTTGCGATGCTTCAGTGTTCATTATGATCTTGTCACCAAAGTTTTTGTGTACTTCGTTCAAAACTTTGACAGGAACGATGAAGTCTAAGTACCAGTGCACAGCAATCCCATCTATGTACTTAGCACACTGTTCATCATTCATAAGCTATAGAAAAAAAAACGTTTTGCAATATTTTATTTTAAGTTAAATACATACATACGTTATTGTACTTGTACAGTACAAGTACAATAAGGGGCCTCTAAAATTAGCTTCCACCAGGGCCTCAAAATTATAGTTTGCGGCACTGCTTGTACGTCTGTATAAATACCACCAATAACTAACCTACTACAGTTGTAGGTACCTAGTGCAAACCCTTTTACTAGACCATTCTGATCCAATTATATGTTATATATATATGTCAAAATGTATTTTTGCTTGTGCATCAAAATGTCAGTTAATATAAACTATTAACAATTAAAATCAAAGGATATGCCTACGTTTACAAATATATTTTTATGTAATGTGCTTAATTATTATTTATTAATAATGATAAATTACTATTCATTTGACCAAATGATTTGTCGATGGACATAACCAATAGGTATCTAATGATTATTTTTAAATAATTATTTAAAGAACCGTACATACCATAGATGGTCAGTAACTAGGTACCTAGGAATGTCATAATTCATAAAAAAAAAATTAACTCATGTCACTAAGTTCAATGTCACCTATAATGTTTATAAATATTATAACGATAAATAGTAAATGTGGTATTTTTAAGTTTTTAACACAAACTAAAATGAAAGTCAACCTACTAATAATTTATAGTATATATAGGTAGTAAATATACATAGGTACTAAGTTAATATTTTTTTGTTTTACCTTTAGGTGTTTCTAGAGTTAATTATTACATAAAGGTAACTGTCAATAGGCTAACTGTTGTAATATTTACAAAAAGAAAATTTAGCATTGGTCTCTATACTGAGGTAAAACCTTCTATCAGAAAGCAAGACTACTTAAAATACTTATTTAAAACGCATGATAGAATCAAAAATTAGAAATTGAAATGTGATGAGAATTTAAAGAAAACATTTTTAGAATAGCTTAAAAACAATATATACTTTGAATATTGAATATATACATTATATATTTAAAGATTTTCAAAATTTTCAAAATTTTCGTAATGCAACAGTAGGTACACTATACACAGTACCATTTTCATCCACCAAGGCAATACAATCCTCTGGTCGTCGATGGCGAACAACAGCGTGCTGTTGTGTTCGGAATCTCTTAAACGGGGCCCCATGTGACGTCCTATCCATTCGCGGTGTGACATCGGAGTCCAGCCCATAGAATTGAATCGGTTCACGGGCACGATGCCGTTGAGCGGTTCGTTCCCCGTGGTCAGTGCCCAGAAAGTCAAGTTTTTTTTGCTGTATGCGTCCAAAAATCTTCAACGGTTATTATATAAGATTTATTATATTACATATTTATAAACAGTCGATATGCCAACATAATTATATATATAATGTACATGTGGACAATGTATAGAGACTACGGGTCCAAATCATAGAGTAATTACTCTATGGTCCAAATACACTTTTGAAAAATCCCTTTTATTTTTAGTAACAAAAACTGATTTCAATTTAAATATYGAACAGTTTTGCTTTTCTACAAAAAAAAAATAAATAAAAATATTTCCATRAAATTCGGAGGATGTTTATAATGATTGTTATGTGAAATCATAAAATGCGTTGCTCAAGCCAATAACCACTTTGCTCTGTACTAGCAAATATACAGGATATAGGTATATATACTATACATAGATTATACGAATGGCAGACATTTTCCCCCGATAAATTTTTGGATGCGGACATTTTCCCCCCGTATTTTTTTCTATTATTTACCTTCGAATATAAAATTATTAT